AGGCACAGCACCCCCAGCCAGAGCCACAAGAACCACAGCAACAGATACACCGCGAGGAGACACATCAGAAGACACAGAGATAGACAGACAGACATGAACAGAGACAGACTGACAGATGGAGGAGTCTGGGGAGTGGGGTGGCAGAGTCAGGGCCACCCTTAGCCCGGATCACCGTCTGTGAATGAGTTGCAGGCAGACCCTCCTTCCTGGGCCCGCACATCCCTGCAGGAAGGCCGTCTTGTGCAGTGAGCCAGCGGAGCTGGGTCTGTCCTGAGCTGCTCTCCAGGGGCTAGCCCAGGGCCCGGCCCACAGCAGGCATGCTGGGTCACAGCTGGTTACACAGAGTGGGCCACAGAGCCCCACCAAGAGGAGAGAGAGAGAGAGCATGCTCCAGGTGGCCTGGGATGCTGCTGTAGACTCCTCCTCTAGGAAGCGCCTGGATTTCCTTGCCTCCCAGAAGGTCCCCTGTCAGCTTCACCCGGTGGGAGGCGGCCCCTCCCTGGGCCACCTCAGGGGCCCCAGTGAGAGAGAAGCTGGCCGCCAAGTCTCAGTGGAAACTACTGCGCCCAGCCCAGACTTGCTCCTCGGGTGGGGCTACTAGCCTAAGAGGCCTGGTGGAAAGAGGACCGAGGGGAGGGAACGGGGGCACCCTCTGGTTTCCCAATCTCCAGAGAGAAGGAGCTGGTCTGGAGTCGCCCCAAGGGGGCTTGAGGGAAAGGGAGTTCTTGGCAGAGGCCCCAGTCTGTTCAGAGGCCTGGGGAGAAAGGAGAGGGGATTCCTAGGGGCCTCTCAGACCAAGCTAAGACTTTGAACTTGATGCTGTGCTCCGATACACATTCCTGGAGGCATGTAGCTACCCACGGGGCTGAGATCCACAGTTGAACCCACCAGCCTGATCCATGGGAGAAAGGCAGGGTTTTCTACGCCTGTAAACAGTTCCGGTCCCAGAAACCCACAGGGGCAGTTCTACCCTGCCCTCTAGGGTCACTGGGAGTTGGCATCGAGTCGATGGCAGTGAGGGTTTTTTTGGTTTGTTTTTTGAGTTGTCACCACATGCTCAAAAAGGGTCTCTCTGGACCGGGTCACTCCTCAGCCTCCGATGACCCAGACTTTCTGCTGTTCGATGAGGAGCAGGGGGTGGGGGTGGGCTGAGCTGGCAGAACCCAGGCGAGGGCCTGGAGAGAACCCCCAGAGTCAACAGGGAGCCGAAGGCCTTGACAAAGGCAGGAAAGGGCATTCTGGGTAGGGAGCACAGTTACGTGAGGGTCTGAAGGGGTGTGGTCATCAGACAGGGGCTGGAATTGGTGCTGACACTGCCAGGGGGAGGGAGCAGCAGGGCCCCAAGGGAACCAGGCAGAAATGGCTACACCGCAGAGGGGCACGGGAGCTGGGGCTTTGAGAGATGAATAGAAGTTCTTGGACCTGAGTGAGGTGGAACAGGCAAATTGAGCAGGGGGGCTCTGGCCAGAGTTTGGGGCGCAAGCCGATGGATTAGGAAGAAGAAACAGGCCCAGAGGGACCCCTCCCACCCCCCCAAGGCATTTTTTCTGGGTCCAATCCCAACCCTGCGCTACTCTAGTCCAAGGACCCTCAGTACAATTCCTGGGGTGGCCCTGCCAAGCCCCTCTTCCAGGCCTCTCAGAAGAGCCCCCAACTATCCCAGCTAATGATAATACTTGGGGGGGGGGCATTTTCCAGGGCATGGCTGTGGGCAGGCCGGGGCCCCTGACTCAGTTTCCCTAACTGTAAAATGGGGACACTGGAAGCCAGTCGTGCTGCTCATGTTCCTGTCCCTCCTGGGGGGCCCTTCAACACATGATGTGCGGAAAGAAGGGAGAAACCAAGAGGGGCGAGGTGGGGGGCAAGGCTGGAAGAGAGGCGAGGAAGGAGAAAGCCCCCACCCCCCAGGCCAACAGCCAAGGGCCCCGCAGCTCTGACATTATTATTTCAGAACACACTGGAGCTGTCGAGGCTTAAGAAATGGGTGGTGATTTGCATGTGATTTGCATGCGATTTGCATACTGTTTGTTAAATGTCAAAATGCACTGAAAATGCTTTTCCCCCCAACCCCCAGTCTAGAGGAAAAATACCCTCCCCCTTCCTCCACCAGCTCCCCTGCCGGGGCTGGGGCCCCCTGGGTCCAGAGGCTGCCGGAGGTCGGCACCCAGATGTGGGAGAGTAGGAGACACAGCTTCCACCATAAAATGTCTGCTGGGACTAGAGCAACTCCGTCCGGTCCATCAGCACACTCTCTACCCCATCTGTAAAGCGGGACGGAGTACAGGGCAGTGTGGCGCATCTTCCTGCCCCAGGGACCAGACCTGGGACCAGGTGCCCACGTGTGCATGTGTCCCAGTGACAAGCAGACACCAGGTAACCTGCCTTCCCCTATCTAAGTGCCCAGCAGCAGCCTGCCTGTTTCTCAACCCCGCCCCCCACCCAGGCATATTAGCCCCGCCCTAGAGGAGGGCAAGGTTCAGGTGGGCCTACCTGTAGGAGTGAAGAGGGCCTGCTTGAGGACCCCTGTCTCCTCTGCCCCCTCTAGGAGGTGAGCGGCTACCTGGCTGCTGTCCCCACAGTCATGATTATCACCCACCTGTCCCAGCTCAGGGTCCTGCACCCAACGCGGCTGAGTTAAAACTTTCATTCCTGCCAGGCTCACAGGCTCACAGGCCCCTGCCCCACACCACACCAGGCCCCTTGCCACCCCGCACCCCCAGAGGCTACCCTCAGCCCTGCAAGGTGCGCAGGCCACTGGCCCCCAAGTTCTCCGAGGAGGACCAAGCAGCGCCTCCCCCCCTCACACCGCACACCGCCAGGGAACACTGCAGCTGACCCGGCCCCGGCCCAACCCAAGACTCCATCCCTGGGCGTGCGGCAGGGGTTTAAACAAAACCCCAAACCAACTCGCTGCCTTGAGTGGATTCCGAGGCAGGGGCATGACGTCGTTCAGGGGAGGAGGGGCCTCTGAAAGCAGTGGTCCCAGCTCGGCAGGGTGGCAGGATAAAGGCCCGGCGCTCTTCCTCCGTAAAGAGAAAAGCGAGAAAACCCACAGAGTCGCTCTGTTGTCACACGAGCTGTTGTTTGTTAACAGGTGGGGTGGAGGCTCTTCCGACCCATCGTGACCCTGTGTGCCCGTCCGGGCCTGTGCCACCCACGCTAACTCGAGCCCACTGTTGCAGCCACAGCGTCCATCCATCCGCAAAGAACTCCCTCGTTCTCCTTGATGCTCCCAAGCATGATGTCCGTCCCCAGCTGTAACATGGGGTCATCATAAATCTAGGGGGATGGGGGTGGCGGGCCTTGCAACTAGCAACAGCAATAGATTTGGGAATGAAGGAGCCTGGGTGTGTGAGGGGGTTGCCGCTGGTTGACAACTGCAAGGCCAGTGGTTCGAACCCACCCAGCGGTGGCTTGGAAGAAAGTCCTGGTGATCTATTTGCACCGAGTACCCGCTATTCTCCTTGGTGACATGAGATTCCCCACCATCGGGGCGGGTGACCCGCGGGGACCCCATGTGTTCAACAGAATAGAACGACAAATTTGGGGGGGGGTGTCACAGTGTAGCCTTGGAAGTTTGAGGTCACCCAGCTCCCCTCCGCCCTTGGTCATCTGAGATTTCTTGAGGGATTGGCAAGGTCCCAAGTCAGGGCTATTCACAGCAGAGGGGGCTCGTTGTAGCCCAAAGTGCTCATTGGCGGGGACGGAATCAGGGTTGGTTTCCTGGAGGAGGCTGGAACGTGGGAGGACTGGAGATGCCAAGAGGTATAGGGAAGATGGTTCAGACAGGAGGCACCGCTCAGACAAAGTCGTGACAATGTACAAGGTGAAGATGTCCCCCGGGCTCCTTCCTTCTCCCCTCTGCTCTCTCGCTGCCGGTGGGGGGCCTCCCAGACTCTCACAGTTGTTTGCAATGCAGACAGAGCCCAGAAGGTTCCACGACAGATTGACAGATGATCCGTTGGCTTCAGGGTCACACAGCACAGCTGAGGTCCGCTGCTCCTCCCTGGCTGGCTGGGTTGGGGCAGCAACGTCCATTAAGAGTGTCTTATGCAGGAGGGACCAAGGCGTCAGCATCCCCTGGGAACCCAGACCTGGAACAGCAGGGGGAAGGAGATGAGACACTTTCAGGCCAGGACGGGAAAACAGCAGCCGTTGGCCAGCTGTCCTTCTTGTGGACAGTGCCATCTGTATCCCTGGTGTCCCCCGTTTCCTCTAGGAGGGACCAGCACCGACTTCAATTACAAAAAGTCACGATTCCTGGATCAAACTTGGCTGTTTGGAGCCACCTTGTGGAAGCTTCAAGAATTGCAGGAAAAGAGCACAAACCAGCTAACCAAAGCCTAAGAGGGGCAGCAGAGTCCCAGGGGGCAGTGGTGGCTCAGTCATAGGATTATTGCCTTCCACGCAGGAGAGGTCTAGTTCTACTCCCTGCTACTGCGCCTTGAGCTCAGATATCATCCATCTGGCCCTGGGGGGGCGTGAGGTTTTGACAGGAGGGGGAACAGGTTTCAGACTAGGAAGAAAGGCTGGCCAAAATCAGCCAATCAAACTCTATGGATCACAATTTCCGGATTTGCGATTAATCAAGGGGATGGTGCCAGGACCTGGCGGTGTTTCCATTGTACATGGGGTCACCTTGGATCAGCAGCAGCCACCATCAGAGCCCAGAGAGGGAAAGGGGCCTGCCTGAGGTCACACAGCATGTTGGGGCTGCACTGCTTAGGCTCACGTGTTGGTCCACGGTGGGACCAGTGTCTTGGGCAAGAGCATAGGGGCATTTGGAGGGGGGCTGCCCATCCACAGAAGTGAGCCCCTTCTTTTTTCTGGACCTCAGTTTCCCCATCTCGGGCCTCGACAGCCTCTGAGACCCTTTCTGTTTGTCACATGTTAGAGTGATTTACCTGGAGGGAGGTCAGGGCTCCCTGGGGTGGGGACAGTGTCTTCCGAGAAAGCGTCCCCACCCCTTGCCTCTTCCTTCAGCCAACACATTCAGGCCTTCTCATCACAGCTCCGCCTCCCGCAGCCCAAACTACCTGAAAGAGGGGGGCCGAAAGGCATGAGGTGAGGCCAAACACAGCCTCCCAGGAAGCTCGGTGTACTCACATGGTCTTAAGATTCCCCTCCCCAGCTTCCAGGTCCCTCTGAGTGCCAGCAGACTGTATGGACAGTCCCTCCTCTGCCCCAAAGATGATTCACTCAATGCATATTGATTGAGCCCTACAGGAAACCTGGTGATGCCCTGGGCGAGGTTAGGCTGCTACCTGCACACCCACCTGGAGCTCCACTGGAGAGAGATGAGGCTGTGGCCGTTTGGAGACACCTAGTGGAAACCACCGGGAATTACAGGCAAGGAGCATCATGAAACCAAACCAGTTAAGCAAAGCCCAACGTCTACGGCTCCCCCATCTGCAGCGAAAAAGAGTAGGATCCCTCGACAGGATGGACTGACAAGGAGGCTGCAGTGATTGGCTCGAACATAACAACAGGGTGAGGATGGCACAGGGCCGGGTGGTGTCTCAGTCTGTGGTACGTAGGGTGGCTGTGAGTCAGAACTGACGCCATCGCCATGGCGGCCAGGTTACAAGCACCAGAGGAATGCGGGAGTGGGGGGTGTGCCCTTCTGCTTGTCAAAAGATTGGTAGCTAGAACCCACCTAGAGGTGCCTGGGAAGAAAGGCCTGTACCCCAAAGATCAGAGCCTGGAGACCCCCAGAAGCACAGGTCTGTTCTGCACACACGCAGGGGCTGCCTGACGACACAGGGGCACCTCCTCAGGAAATGGTGCCAAGCACAGGGCTGGAACCAGCCCTCACGGAGCCACGCCCTCGTGGAGCCACGCCCCCACGGAGTTCTAGTCTACCAGGGGAGTCACTGGAGATATGCAGGAAATGTACAGAGGCCAGCTGGGACAGGGGGGGGCGGGCGGGGGCGCGCAGGGAAGCAGGCAGAGACTGGGTTGGGGCTTGTGGATGAACAAGGAAGGTCTCCCTGGGGAGGTGGCCTCTGAGCAGAGACCTGAAGGGGAGCAGGGAGGCGTGGAGGTAGATGTCTGGGGAAAAGCATTCCAGGCAGAGGGAAGAGCCCATGCAAAGGCCAGAGGCAGGACTGTGCCCGGTGCACTGGAGGGGCAGTAAGGAGATCCTTGTGGCTAGGGGAGAGAGGAAGAGGGGAGGGACGGATCGGGAGGCAGGCCCGACTCAGGTGCTCAGGAGAGCCCTCTAGCTGCGGCGGGGAGCATGGGCTGTGGGGGCGGGGGGCGACGCTGCGTGTGCTGTGCATGGTATCTGGAGCAAGTGGGGATGCAGGAACAGGAGAAGTGGGTAGATTCCATATAAGGCACTGTCCGAAAAAGAAAAGGGATGAAATGAGAACTACACCCCCCACCCCCCCACCCCTGCTTATTGATGGGGGGAGGAGAGAGTAGAGGTTGCTTAAGAGGGTGGCCTCCACCTTGAGGAATCTCATCAGCATCAAGGAGCAATTCGCATGTGCTCCGCTGAGCATGTTTTCAACCGAAGCGAAGGACGGAACATGATTCTAAAGACAGAGGAAAGAGAGCATGCCGTTTCCAACAAGCTCCGTCCCTGCCCCGCTCGATGCCTCTCTGTGCCTGTTTCCCCACCTGTACACCAGGAATGAATCATACTAGTCTCCACGCTGCACAACTGCTGTGGTGGGTTTGCGAGACTGTAGCTGTTTCAGACCACAGAGCCCTGGCTTTCTCCCGCGGAGCGGTCAGTGGTTTCGAACCACCGCAGCCCAGCGGGTCGCCACTACGCCACCAGGAGCCGCTCCTGAGCGCCTGAGGGTTGCCTGTGCCTGCTGGTCCCCACAAGGCGTGGCTACCACCTGGACAGCTTCCCTCCACCCCGAAAGGCAGGAAGTGATGCCACACTTTCAGAAGGCGGCCTGAGGGCGATAGGCAGCCCCACCCACCTGGAGGTGGGCCAAGCAGCCCACAGGACTCGCACCCAAGGACGAATATGCGGGCCAACAAGTCCAATGGGTTTCTCCCCATTGCACAGATGGGCAAGCCGAGGCCTTCCCTGGAGTCTTCAGCCTCCTGGTCTTCCCCAATTCACACTGAGCCACTCACCAGCCACCCCTGCTTCATTTCCGTGGGTCTGGTTGTGGGTCTGGGGCTCAGATCATGTTTGACACCCAGAAATGGCGGGTAAGCTGCCTCAGGACACACAGCATATGGGTGGCAAAAGCTGTCAGGGCCCCAGGCCCCACCCAGCCTGTCTGGCAGAGCAGGCAGAAGTAGATGCCGCCACCAAGTCAGGGATGGGGCCATGGAGGAGGTGACACTCCAGTGGATGTGCCTTCTCTGAAGGCCACCTTCTCTGTCCTCTTCTGGTCCAGCCTCGTCACTGCCCACCGGAGCTGTGACTCTACCCTGATCCCCTGCCTCTCACACCCACCGCCCACCATGTGCCCTTCCTAGGCTAGTGCTCGCCCTGCCCTCTTCCTTGGGCCCAAAAGACCCACTTCCTGCCCGCGTTGGCCTACAGCTGCTCTTGAGCGCCCCAAGGACCCGTGTGGAAAGGCAGGGGTTAGACGGCCAGAGATGGACGGAGAGGCACAGAGACCCGACACAGACAAAACCAGGACATGGACAGAGACAGCGAGAGACAGAGAGAATGATGAGGAACGAGGGGCACCGAGAGGGAGGGCCGATGAGACAGAGGAGGGGAGAGATGCAGAGAGAGTGAGAAACAGAGACACAGTCCAGACTGAGTGGACTGTGCTACAGGGAGTCCCCGGTGGTGTGTGACTGCTGACCCTCCCAGAGGCACGTTGGCAGAAAGGGCTGCTCCTCAAAGATCACAGAAAACCCTGTGGGGCCGTTCTGCCCTGATAATACTGGCTCCCCGCATTTCCCACCCCAAGGTAATTCACAACCTCAGAGCCACACAGGGAGACCAGACAGAATGATGAGGGGCTGAGGGCCACAGTGGCGGAACATGCGAGAACCTTTCCAATGACTTCACCACCATTATCACACACTCACTGCACCTCCCGCCCCCCCAGCTTCTCTCCCTCCCCCCAAGTTGTCTGTCCCTGCCCCCACCACCACCCCAGCTCCCAGACAGGCCTCCTCCTCCGTGGGTGCTCTGCCTGAGCGTCTCCCATGCCCGGGACCCCCAACCTCAGCCTTCTCATCCCTAGCCCACCCTTCCGCCCCCAGACCCCAGGCCGGAGCTCAGTTAAGGCCAGGAGAAGGGGGGGGCCATGGTGCCGGCCCCTCCCACCCCCAGTCCAACTTCAATCTGAGCTGCTCTGCCCATCCCCCAGCTTCCCGGGGCCCACCCCGCCCCCGGCCGCGCCACCTGGGGTCGCTGACGAGCAGCAGCACCGAGCCGTCCTGCAGCCGCACGTCGCGCACCGTCAGGTGGTCGTCGAGCGGCCGCGCGTTGTAGTAGAAGGTGCGCTTCCAGGAGCTGACGCCCTGGCCCACGAGCTGGGCCCGCAGGTCGCGGAGCGTGTCCCGCGGCCGCACGGTCAGCGGCAGCAGCAGCGCCTCGTCGGCCAGGTGCACCTTGATGTGATAGCGCTTCCAGCGCGACAGCCCGCGCCGCAGCCCCTCCATGGCGCCCGACCCCGCGCCCGCCCTGCC